TGCACATTTCTTTGAATTTGTTTGAATTCTGTACTGATGAGCAACATTTACAAAGGTTTGCAATGATCCAGACTGATAACTACTTTGGTCAGCTATAACTTATACCAATGATGAAACAAATTGTACAGCACACTGTTGTTATGAGACCAAATTAACTAGACATGCCAGGTTCACAGCACGAAAGCAAGAGTATGATTGTTTATGCTGGGCAATATGAAACATTGGAATTTCATGCAAAAGATGCAAATTTAGTATTCCAGTATGCACTGTATCATGAGTCAAGTATCCCACTATGTATCGATACATGAAGCAGGCTTGTCCTGAACGCTTCAGCTCTAGTGTTTATGCAACATAACACTGCTGTGTTGGCTAGGAATATTGGAAAACAATGGTCAGGTTAATGTTTGTAATAGAAGACATGCAGATACTAGAGTCTGGTATATCATATGCAGAATACTGTCTGCTGCTAGCAGAATTGTCACATTTGCATTGCAGTGTATGTTCAACCTGAATTCCCTCAAAAATGAACTGTGCTGTACATACTGTTTTTGTAAGTTAGTATTTACAACTGTCCTTGATGCTGATACTAACCAGTCTGTATAAGGACTCATTTGTGTGGCCTGAAACACTTGCTACACTTGCAGTAAGAAACAAGAAGCATGTATAGAGGGATAGACCATACAGTTTACATGTCATGCAATGATCAGTGTTGTGTATCAATGAATGAGTATGGGTGTGGTTCTCAGGATTAAAATGAATATCCACTGTGGCTGTAAAACAGATTACTAACATGTAGAATTACTGCTATTTGAAATTATGCAAAAGCATTACAAAATTAAAACACTTATTGAGTAGCGTTTAATGTTGCTGCTTCTGTAATATCATGGCATATAAGAGAGAAACATGTATGTGCTGTAGGTCATTGTAATGCACCCTGGGTCGGTGGGGTAGCCTTGTGGTTAAAGTGTTCGCTCATCATGCCGAAGACCCAGGTTCGATTCCCCACATGTGTACAATGTGTGAAGCATATTTTCTGGTGTTTCCCCCCATGATATTGCTAAAAGTGGTGTAAAACTAAACTCATTCGCTCACTGGCTGTAATGTACCCTACATGAACTGCATGAACTCATGAGTATGATGCTGACAAACCAGGATTGCAAATTGGGTAAACCATGGATTTGAAATCAAAGATCAGCAGATCCTGTTGTAATCAAGGTTCACAACTATACCCTCCACAACTACCTAACTATAAAAAAATAATAGTAATATTTTCATAAAAAAATTAATGAGGTTATAGTCAGAAAATATTCTACCATATAAAGTTCTTCAAACAAAAAACAGCCTTCAAAACCATATCAGAGCATATTACTTTTTGTAAGATCTCTCGTATTATATATTCACTCAAGCTATCCTCTTGCGCGACGACAGATTGAAGGCTGCAATCAGTATTTCATGACTATCTAACTATTATCAGCCTGTGATCCCTGATCATCAATGAGCCTCCTATCAACTCTGTTGTTATCCCCATGAGTCCACCAGTGTTTGCTGGACTCATTACTGGAGATACCTCCTCACAGTCACAAGTAAATTGCATAACACTATGTGAGGAGGGTATATTCAACCAACCACTCCTTTCTGTCAAATTTTGTAACACTTTCTACAACTGAAGGTGCGAGTTCTTTTCTGTGTTACCAAATTTGTCACATTTTTAATTAAACTAACTAATAATCCTGCCGAGCCACCCATCCAATTTACTTTCAAAATAAAATTCCACAACATCTGCAAATATATAACTTTTCAGACTTTTTATCAATAGTCTAAATCTCATAATTTGTATTTTATATTTGTTAAAAACAACAGACATATTTCATGTTATTGCTTTTAAATATGACTTATCAAATACGTTGTTACATTCTCAACTCACGTTTTGTATTGGGAAGTAAATTTCTTTGGAACTTTAACTTCAGTAATTGATTTAAGACAGTTACTATCATGATATTTGATTTATCAAAAAATGTAGTATTCTTTTTTTTTAACTTGGTGATGGAAATACATCTGTGATTACATAAGACAATCCCCTTTATTTACAAACACACATTGTATATTCATGCAAAAGTACATCGGGACACCTTCTTGAAAAGTCTTGACCTACCCATTGTAATGGATTGCTAATTTCTACATCTACTGGTAATCAAGTCCTTGAAACACATATACTGGAAAACCAATATTCTTATTTGTATACCATTCTGCTGTTATATGGGTCATTCCTAATTAATCATTTGATGATTTCTTTTTCAAAAGTAAAGCCACTTCAAACAGTGTTTGTTTTAAAAAGTCAGCTTTATTGTTTTTGAACACTGAAAGTATGAAAGAATTAAATATTGATTCTTGACAGATGTCACCATGTGATTATTTATCAAAGATCACACATTACTGATTTGGCTTTTTGCTCTGTCTTAAGAGAAAGTTTGACTTTCACATTTCTGGCAAGCCACAAGCGCTGTGAAATATGTCACTGTCATGATAAAATAGACACAAATTTGTTCACTATACAAAACATCATACTATATTATTTAAGAGTAAATGTATTTATATTTAAGACCACTTTACTTGGCCAAATGTTTGTTACCTTTTGGAGTCCATCAGATCTATTGATACAGATTTACCAAACAAGAAATAAAACAAACTTTAAGCGTAAACATTGAAAATGGATGCAAAACACAATACCGGTTTAAATGCACTGAGATGAAGAAGGATGGAATGATGCTCTTTTCTTCATTATATAGGGATGCATAAAAACAATTTCCATTGTCAAGTTGAATACACTAGCAAAAACATCATAATCTTCTAATGCCAGCACAATATAGATTCGTTCCTCTGGATTTTCACTCATATCATGCTAGTGGACTCCTCTATTCCCGTTACAATTTTGTATTGAACTTTGGGCATTTGTCAAACTAATAATCCATGTAAATCCCAGTATAGATAATTCAAATAATTTGAGAAATAATACACAAAAATATGTGTATCTTGTATTCTATAAGTTTGATGTAGCGATAGATCAATTAATAATTTCATTTTTAATTGCATGCAAGGCAGGAAATAAAGTTGCTACCAAATTGTTTCATCGTTATATTTTTAAATAGGAGATGGTGCTTCAGACAATTTTTTGGAGGTGCCTTTGAGGAGGACTGACTGACTGACTGAGTTTAGTTTTACGCCGCTTTTAGCAATATTCCAGCAATATCACGGCGGGGGAGACCAGAAATGGGCTTAACACATTGTGCCCATGTGGGGAATCGAACCCGGGCCTTCGGCGTGACGAGCCAACGCTTTAACCACTGGGCTACCCCACCGCCCCCTTTGAGGAGGAGTGGAGGAGTGTCAGGGGAAATGTGCAGAAGTCGTGTGGGACATTGTTGAAGAAATCAGTTGTAGTATGGTAAATTGTATTCAGTATATACCGAAAACCATCAATGGAATTCGGATACTTTGAGAAATCAGCAGGAGTAAGAGAGTGAGTTACATTTAACATTTCCTGTCATATCAAAGCAGGGGACAAGAAACCAAGCTCTCATTTATCTCTGTCAAAATCAAAATCTCTGAATATACCATCCTTAGAAAACATAGCAGTCTGTTCAAAAGACTTTAGGCTTTACTAGCCCAACAACTTTCTAACTTCTTAGCATATTTGGCGTTCACATTTACATATGTAGCCAAGCTCTCTCAACAAAACATTTGTATATCCTCAAAAGCTAGCTCTTGCCACACTGAATGCTATTAACTTTCCATGTCCTTGAATTCAAATTGTTTGATTCAAACAGATCTGTGTACTGTTCATAAACTTAGAGTAATGTGTTTCATGCTTATATTAATGACTGATGAATTGAAAACAGCTTGATAAAATGGGAGTTGAGAAAGACATACAACATAATATATATGTCCATTCTGTGTTATTAAAATAATTGTACTCAACACGTATGGCAACCTGTCAACAGAATTTATAATTAATAGAAAAATAGTTTGTTTTGTGTTTTTATGTTGTATTAAGTTGAAATATAGGCTTCCAATCGAGGTTCAACCTTTTAGAGCATCAATAATTAATCTACAGTCATCAAATAGTTTCATTTGCAGACAGTTTTGAAAGGTTATGTTTTTACCAACAACAAAATTTTAATACTTTCTGCCATGATTAAAGACTGAAAATAGATTGACAAGGTACTTAAAAACAGCATCAAGATTTGATAGCTGAAGTGATTTGGTTACAATGAAAATAAACTTTATATCTGATGTAGATAATGAAGGAAAATTTTCTGGTGGTATAATTTATGTAATGTGTATACATAAAAGGACAAAGTATGCATCAGCTGATGACAGAATGGCATTCTGCCATTATAAGTCTGACAGTTAATTAAGCCCTAACACATCCACACACACAAAGCAATGTTCAATTACTGTCAAAAAATGTAGGTTGTCAATAACTAAACTTTTGATCATTTTGAAAAAGAATTTGCTAAAATATGACACATACAATGCCCTTGAACAGTTTCTGAACAAGTATGTTTGATTATCTTCCTTCCATTAAACAAAAAGCTCTATCCTTGCACAGAATATCATTTTAACCTACCCAAGTTCATAATTTGTATCATAATCACAATGATCTTCTGAATGCCAAACCAATGAATGTCCGGGTTAGAATGAGTCTTCAGTAACCCATGCTTGTCCTACGAGGCGGCTAACAGGATCAGGTGATCAGGCTTGCTGACTTGGTTGACACATGTCATCGGTTCCCAAATGCGCACATTGATGCTCATGCTAGTGATCACTGGATTGTCTGCTCCAGACTCGATTATTTCCAGACCGCTGCCATATAGCTGGAATATTGCCGAGTGCAGCGTAAAACTAAACTCACTCACTCACTCTGAATGCCAACAAAAAGTGAAAATGAAACATAAAAATTTACTAAAAGCCATTTTCATTAAAAAACATGTTTCAGTTACCTGTTTCATTAACTGGTCATCCATATATTCCCCAAGCAGGACGTGATCTTTAGACTCTTTCATGTCTTGATACAAGAACATGAGTACTGAAAAGTGATAAAAAGAATGAATATCATTATGTTGAGTAGAAATCTAATTGTTAAATTTGCATGAGACAATCTTCATGTGTACAACATATAGAAAGACTATATAATGGAAAGGCTGCATACCATGTATACAGTTGTCATTTATAATATCTAGTATTGATCTATACATAGGCAGTATTTATTAAAATATCAAAAAAGTAATTGTACACCTATGTTCATATTTTCTTTATACCAGAACATAGTTCTAAACTGGTTTAGTTGGGTTTTTTTAAAATATGCTGTTTGTGATCCACAGACACACAAATCACTGTGAATGCACAAGTTGACAGCCATGAGACTGAGGGGAGGTAACTCTTGGTTGTATCATATTGGGAATTTCTCTCCAACACACCATCACAAATGGTAGACTAATAATAATAGATTCACTAATAACATTGAGAAATAAGAAATATCTACAATTCAAAGTCTGTGGTCTGACTTAACTTGAACTACTACTTTCACAATAACATTGATCAATATGACCGCTACTAATCTTGATTGGTGCCCAGCTTGCGTACAGTACATGTTGGAACCTCGATGTACAAGAAGGTACATATTATATGCTGTTACAGACTAATACTGCCTTAGTCCCTAACTTTATTCACCTACATATGTATAGATCCAGTAGATGTTCCACAAGTGAAAACTATAATCTGCAAATGTCAAGACACTTTTGATAATGTACAATACATGGGTTGCTTTTGATATTACAGCACTCCATTTTTCATGTGACACCACCTTTGAACATTTCAAAACATTCAAGAATGTTTTTAGGTTGCAAAACAGACATGAATTACAAGCTGTACTGTATAAGTTGTTACTGATTTTCATCATTCAAAGAAATGATCACTTACTTATCTCATTGTCAGCTGTTAAATTAACCAAATGTGTCATGCTATAAGTGCATTATTTTGGAAATAACCGTTACCCTTACCTTCAGGCATATACAGCATGTTTATTTCCAAACAATATCTAACAATACCGGTACCATTTCTCTAATTAACTTGTTTTCACACCATCCCCAGATCAGTGGACTTCGCGGTGGACATGTAAAGATAATTAATTCCGTAAAAGACACACATTACGTAATATGTACATAATAGCCGTTTGGACAGGTGGTAGACAGACCCGCTAATTAACTGCGTTGTTTGAAACAAAGGCTCTGACCAGGTGTAAACAAAGCCGGCCCATGTCAGACTGTGGCAGCCAACGAGAAACGCTGGCCTAGCTAACAAATGTCAACAAAGCTTGAAGTCACCTGAGGCTATTATCGGCTTTTGCCTCATTAAATTTTATATTACAATGTTCGGCGTATCGATTCGAAACTTATTAAAATAATTCGTCAAATTCTGTTTAGTGTTATCGGCACGAGATCATTTCATTCATAGCAAGTGAGCGAACTGGACGATTGGTTGGCTAGCAGCCGATCCGATTCAACTGGTTCGCTGTGGACAGTTAGATTTATCTATTGAGCCTTGACAATTTGCATGACAGACTTCAAAGCCGCATGCTTGAACTGGCACCGGTCTCTACCAATACACTGCCAATGTCCAGTTATTATTTACTAAAAGAAGCTGTCAATTTCAGGACTTCTTACCAACGCGTGTTTTCTACTTCCGCCATTTTGGCCGTGGAATTCTGGGTATGAAGACAAGATGGCGAGAACTTGAAAGGGGCCGTACAAGAAGGTAGGTCTTTCCGTAAATTCAACTGGAATTAACGCCTCAATAAGTGGCATTTTTTATGAAAAAAGTCGCCCAATGGCTAGTTTTTCCATTTTATGAAATTTTCTTATTGATCATTGAATGTTTTCCATATATTTTATATAGAAAAACACACTTCATTGTCCGTGCTCTAGCCCGTTTTAAAATTTTAATTCAGCTCTCAATTTGCCCTTGAGTACAGCGCAATTATGATGATATTAGCCAAACGTCAGCATAGAATTATGGAAGCCATTTTGTTTTATAAGATCTTCAACACTGAGACTATGAAATATATTCATCTTTGGTTGGCATTTGGAAGGAAGTTGAAGGCAGGAGAGTCAATATTTTCAACTTATTGAAGGGCGCAGAGCGGAGTTTCGACTCGCTCAAGGTTAGTTATTGAAGATTTTTTATTCGATTTTTTTTTCGCTGTCCCGAGTTATGAGTGGGCAGTTGTGGTTAGCCGCTCGGGTCAGGCCAGTATGGAACACAGGGCTGTTTTTGCAAGTATCTCTGAGATTTAGGTCACGAAGTAAGATCATTTAGGTAAGTTTGTGCAAATTAATCCCATGTGCTTGCTTAGATTTGTAGACTTGCAGTGTAGTATGTATGTACGTATTTAGTGAACAGGCTAGCGGTCACTTGATCCGTAGGGCTGAATGTCGGCTCGCCAACTTGAATATTTTTTATGGGTCATGGAGCAAGTTTAGAGGGACTTTGTGTATGGGCGCGGTGTGTAATATGGGCTTGTGGCAACTTTTTTTTTCACAACATGACTGCGTTGTTACACTCAATCTAGTTACGTTTTGTTAATTAGTTAAACAATGTTACGCGCGGATATTGTTTTGTCCCATCTTCGTTCTAACATGTTTCTTGCTTGTGGGACATACTTTTCATACATTTAGCCAAATTTAAAACAATTTTCATTCAAGTATCGGACTTTGAAACTCGTTTGTAACTTTTGAGGGCAGCTATTTTGACAGCTGTCGGAGCTCGTCCTGCCACCTGAAGTCATAAATTGTGTCTCATCACGAGATATAGTGACTATGAAAGGAAATAAAATATTTGAAATGTTTAATTTTGGATGTAGTCTTGATAAAAAAAAAGCATGATAAAAAGTTAGATTGCTTTCAATTTGTGACACGCCCATTCGGTTCCACAGCAATGGCTGCTTCTCATATGTAGTGATGTTCATTTTTCAAATATCACACAGATCTATATAAAAAAAGCATCATTGTTCCAAACAGATTCTTGTACTAATATAAGCAATATGTAGATGTAAATTATACTTATATATGTTTTGTTTTATTGTTATACATATTCTGTCTTTGCTTGAAATCGAAATCTTTTGTATCATAAGGTAATCTACAGAATTTAAACATTTTTATATTTGTAAAAAAATAATAATAATTTAACATCAATACCAATCAGATTAATTTATGTAAAAACAAATATTTTTCATAAATAACACATTGTTTTTGTTTTTTTAATATTTGTTTTATATTGCTGTGAACAAACATGTTTTATGTGATTATACCATTGTTTCACAAGTTTTGTTGGATAAATATTTTCAGTCAGTTAGATTTTGTCAACAACTTGCATTTTATTGTGGTGTTTGGGTAATTTTTATCTATATTGAATACTTACCATGTGTCATTTTGTTGTAATTTATCTGTGGATATATTTTATTCCAATTAAGGTTGTCATCACCTTTTTGAGTGTCGTTGGTACTGGTCTTACACCGTCAGTATTTCTATTTGTTCAAAAAAGTTAAATACATTTTTTGGATGGATAATTTTTCATATTGCCTGAATATATGTGGCTGAAGTTTACTTTGTCTATCAGAAGCACATGCATGGGTTTCATCGTAAATGTCCATTATGTCAATGCCATATTAAGCTTGACACAATGTGATGTAACTTGCTCACTCTGTTCAATGTTAACATAGGTCAATAAGGTTTGTTACAAGTTGTTCCAAACATGTTTGATACCTCATATATTACTGGAGTGTCAAAGTAAGATAGATGAAGATTTAATGTACCTTCAAAAGTTATTACACATGTGATTTATGTCAGGTTTGAGCACTTGGGAGTTTACTCAATTATCATGAAGAAGCATAAGTACCTGACATACTTTTCATACTTACCATTTCTCACAAACATAGAAACTAGGTCACAGCTATATTTAATGTAGCTTAGCAAACGAAAGAAAATTGACATGTTATTTATCTACAGTTTGAAACTTGAGTTGAAACTGACAAGCTTGGAATGATAAGCATGTACTATAAAATGAAATCCAATACTGCTGATAATATTCATGCCAATCCTGGGGATATGGTCAAAGTATTGAGTCAGTCCCACCACTATACTCTCAATTCCCTTGGCCACGCCCAGCTCCCCACACCCCGCATCACCACCTCCCACCCCCTTGCACATCAGCTTCCATGACAACTTGGTGCTCATTCATTTCTAGGACTATTGATCTTGGCAATATGGCATCAGTTTGTGGAGGATTTCACCTTTCTATTGCCTCTCCTACCCCTTCTCTGCAATCTCTCTTAGATCACATGACACTTCCCACCATCCCCACCCCCAGACCTGTTCCTTTAATCAGGGATGTGATTATTGTATTACCACCAAAGGCAATAGTTTAAGAAGCATGTACTTTAACTAGGGTGGTCCATATTTCTATATTATTGGTGTTTATTGCATTTGACCCACCCCCTGTGGGTACAAAGTGCACTACCCTTCCTGTAAAAAGTGCTTGCAGCTCAGAGCAGCCCTTGTTTATGCAGTTAATTAGGTTTTTAACTTGCATTTAATATTAGTAATAAACTATCAATCTCTTTGGATAAAGTTCATTATACCAGTGGTCTCAGTAATTAAAACTATTATCAAATGTTTTTAGATATACACAAAGTTTGTGACAATGAATTTGTGATTTTTCTTCTTTAAATGTACCAACAAAAAGCATCTTTTTGTGATTGCAGGAAAAAACAAATTAATGAATTAAGAATATGATCTGAAAGACAGGTGCATTTATTGCCCCCTACAATGGCAGAGTGGACATGCTTGGCTGACCACAAAGTTTACACAAGTCGTGTGTCACGTGTACGGTTGGAGGTGTTATGGCAATTTATATTGTAATCCTCGGTTTGTGAGTTGATGAGAGTGATCATCTGTCAGATGCTGTCAACACCAGTGCAATATGCATGTAAAGTGCTCACCACCATACATACACATCTGTCTACAAGCCATGTAATAGTGAGGGAGGGTTGGAGAAAGTCTCTCTGGTACAACTCTAAACCAATCGCTGATGTCTGATTTTGGATGCACACTAGGACACAAGACAACTTTCCAAACAAGATGTGTCAGACTAGTAAGACAAAGCATTCTCAGATTTATCATTGAACTCATACTTGTTTCTCATGATTTTTTTTGTTTACTAGTCTTTATTACAGTATCAGTGATCACTGTAGGTTGGTTTCTAGTCTTGTCAGTGGGGAATATACTGACCTGAGTCAGTACAATTATGTTGAATAACATTATCATATTTAAAATGTGTGTGTAAGAAAATCAAATTGCAGAAAACAATATTTAGGTATTTTTGTTGACAGTTGCAATAACAAAATGTTGCCCAACTGGTATATTAACTTTACCTGTACTGGCTTGTGGAAACATGTTCGAAATAATTTACTGATAATTTGGATACTGAAAATATGTTATGACTTATTCCAAAGACAGAAGCATATATACATGGTCCATTATTGATCATTTTGAAAACTTTCTTTATGTTCAGATACTTCTCTGCATTAATGATTTCAGCATTGCTACATTATGCTTTCATACCTGTATTAATCCCAGTTCTTCAGTATTGTCACCTAGTAACTGCTACTTGTTTACTTTTGTAAAGTATCTATTCAGAAATTTATCTTTGTAATAAATATGCTGTCCCTTTAAGTTTGTTATAGGAAATGTAAAATGATCTCACAAGTTCATAACTGAATGGATAGCATAGCATGTCATCGTTTTGTAGCCTGTTGCCAAGTATGAGGAAATATTTGTCTCCATTTGATCAGATAATATTTTCCTGAATGGTATTGTATTCAAATTGAAATTTAAGCATGTTGTGTTTTCATTAATTTTAGACATTCTGAAAAGTGTCATATTTCTGTGTTTCCATGGCAGTCTGTTAAATTTAACAAAGCTTGTGATAGAGGCAGGAAGGCTGTACTTGTTTGTATATAGACTGGGAACACTGGCCCGTGGAAACAGTATCAGATGATATTTTGCAACAGCCAATGAAATCTCGTTCTATGATCTTGATAAAGCTTGACAACCAATCACAGTTCTCAATATCTATTATTACTCCTCTGTTTGTTCAAATCATTAAAATGCTATTACTTGACAATTGCCAGAGCTATATAACCTTTGGAAATACTTTCAATGGGTGTGTTCATCTGATATCTTTACTATATTACCGCCCACTTTTGAATATTCAAAGCGATTGTCTTTGCTCATTGTTTTGGAGATAAAATTCATTGTCTCTCTGCAATCGCCAATTATATTGGTTGCATTTTATAAATATATTTATCTACACTGAGGCACATTTACATAGCTATGAATATTTATCATGGGCTGTTCGTAAATGTCACCCGTGGCTAATTAATTTGTATTAATCGGTATTGCTATACATATGTCAAATTGTTTGAATGTTTTGATCAAATATGTGTCATATTTATACAAAATCAATAAGAAAGCTAAGCATACGAAATTAGATTGGCTTTTTAAAGATCTGTCAAATTCTCAGCTGAGCGATATAAACGCATGAGCAAGTTGTGCCTTCACATTCACTGCTAGTGTGACAGTGCTGAGACATGTTTTCTATCTGAGAGACTTCTCAACACACGGAATTGTTTTTGTTACTTTCTACCAGGATTCCTCCCTATATAGGTAAGCCTTTCCTTCATCACTGCCTTCTCTTATTCCCTCGTTTGCAAACATGTTTGGCTCTTAACTTACCATTTAAAGATCATCTTCATATTTGTTTATTTACAAATTACATTTTTTGACAATGCATGTTGGAAGTATGTTAGATGAGGGCAATGAGCCATGGGGTTCCTGTACTTGGTACAGCTATATCCCCATGTGTTGCTGCAGTTGAAACATGGTAGTAGTGCCTGGTCGACATCCCTCACTATAAAGCAACGGTGGAGGTATTGTCACATCTTTTATGGTTACTTATGCCCTGCCCATCAATGCTTTGCCAGGAGGTTTGAATCATTTCCTTTTAACATCTTCTCTAACATTTGTGGCATCTACAGTGCATGGAGTGTGTGGTGTCCAATCACCTCATTGTACAGCACTTCTCTGTTACTGCAGCGAGGGGGTAGTAGTATTTGTGGTCTTTTTGCTGGAGTAAGTCACATTCTTCTTCGTGGCTGGATGTTCAGTTTCAGTAGGCTGTTGTTTCAGGTGTAAAATGTTAGGTTTTATCTTGATAATGTTCCGCAGCTTCGCAGGAAGATTCATACTAACTTACCTGACTCTTGTATCTTACCACAGATTAATATTTCTCCCACATATGTTGGAAGTAATACAAGCCTGTGCGGCTGTATTGACAGAATGGAGTCATACATCCAAATTTGTTCGCCTTTCAAAGTTAAAATGTTACGTGTGACAAAGGTTTATGGATATGTTTGTTTGATACATTTTTGGGTAGGTCAAGCTTTCCAGTATGTATCATTCAAGCAAATTATAACTACACCATGTCATTTTCTTTCATGTCGTGTGAAACAAGTATATCAAGTTACTCATTAAACCAAATTTGGATGGAGCTGGATGGAATACTTGTGTTACTTGTGGCCTATGGACTGCACACCTTAAGCTGCAGCAGAAGCACTTTACCATGTTTCTGCAGGAGCCCACCAGAGGAGGTTTTGCACTAATTACTCCAGTAAATGCTAGTTATAACAAAACTGATACCTTGATTGCAAAGCTTAATTTCAGAGTCACTTTCTTTTTATTAATTGGAAAGTGTTCAAACCCCTTGTGTTTTTCTCAGCTGGCATTCCTTTCTACACATGTTTATAATCCTGGTATATTCACCAAGTACATGATAACATCATGTTACGGCAATTTTACTGTAATGCACTGTGGAATTGCATGATTAGAATGAAACTTGTTTGTTTGCCTGGGAGAGCATTACTTTAATAATTGATAATTACTGCTATTCAACTGGTGCAATGAATAAGAGAAAACCAAAATAAAACCTCTTTGAAATCCTATGGTGTTTTAGTTATAGTAAATCAATGTGAACAGCTTCAGTGATCTTTGTAGATCTTTGAAAGGATGGAGAGTTTATCTGTATATTGACTCTTAAAGGTAATGGGAAAGCACCATACGGCACAGAGCAACAGGGAAATTCAATAGCTGGTATTTCTAGTTGTATGTACTTGATAGAGGTGGAATCAAGGGAGCAGCAGTTCAGGATGATCTTAGAAAGAAGAAATTAGAATCATATTTTGTAAACAAATACCTGTGTCTGTCACACTTCTCCATTACAGCAAGGCAGTGACAAAGCCATTTGTTACAACATTTAGTGTCACCTACTGATGGGTGCCTTAGGGAGCCTTGTTAAATGACATAATGTTTTGTAAGCTAACTGCCTGACCTTAAACATCTGTTAACCCTAGTCCTTCTGACTAGCCAGCAAGCTGCTGTCCTCACAGGGGGGCAGTGATTAACCCATTAGGAGTGGCTGTGGACTGAACGGACACCAGTTCTGGTCATTAGAAGACAGAAGGCCTTCTGTTTTTCTCAATCTGAGCTTGAGTGGGCCCCACCCATGATAGTGGTTTGTTCAGGATTGATTTCTTTAAGTAAGTCATAAGAGATGATTATAGGTGTGCTCTGGAATTGTAGTTTTGCTTGTCGATATTAACATCAAATTAGCTTGATTGGATGTATTGGTTTCTCCTATCAGAAAAAAATGTTTATTCAACTTTGTCAAATTTTGGATACAAGCTCTTAATGTACAATCAGTGCTTGAAAAATGTAACAGGTTCTGGTTTCCATATGCTTGAGGTACAACTGTTACTCGAGCCATAAGTTTAACCCAAATGAACACAACATATAGTTGTGTCGTAAAGAGAGCATAGAATGTCAGCTGCCATTAAGTTTAATAAGTTAAAGGACTTTCAATAGCCAGTATTAATGTTGGAAAGTCAGTAACTTCATTCTCCTAAATGCGTATTAAATATTAACTTGATTACCTGTTACAAGGCCATTATGGTGGAGCCATGATGGGCTCCGGGATGTAACTTGATACGTGTGAAATATCGGTATTGAATCGACACATCATGTCAATCTCAGTGCATCATGATTATGACAGATGGACCCAGCAGCATAGAAACAGGTCATGTGACACCTGATTAAGTCATGTGACAACTGCTTAATGGCTCCATCAAAGCACTGAAAGATTCATTCGATGAGGGCATGAAGCGTGTCGGATAGTACACTCTTATTTCACAGATCATTACATGCTTACAAACACTGTGAGTTGAACGTAGGCCCCTATTCACTTATAGGGAGGTTTATTCAAGGGAGAGCACAAGGTCAAGAATTTCTTCTATTTTTGTGTTTCATGTTACCAAGTGCAGTTTTTGTACTCAGATGTGCCTCAAAGTAAACAGTGTTGATATGCTTGATTTGTTGCAGTATCACGTATTGTCCAGCATTTCACACAGATTTTTCATTACTGCATAAATAAGTTAGAATGTTATAATTTTCTGCATTATTATATTTTTGGTCTGATATTTAAGTTTCAACGAAAAGCAGTTGTAACAGAACATTTTCATTGAAACCAAGATTAACCTGACTGTGTGACCTTAGCTATTGAGAGAGTACTAAACTTCTGGCACATTCCCCATGCTTGTCATGCTATAGTGAGGTTTACCAGTAAGCCTGCTTTCCTGCTGTTATAACGAGGTGCTCATGAAGAGGCCATTATTCATATATACTAGTGTTTACATGTAGCCCTCAAATAGGTCATGGAGAAGATGATAGTGGTGTTTCACTGGCCTGAAAAAGAATTCTATCTCTTGGAAACATGACAAAATGTTTTCTCCATTTCCTGTCTCTATAAAATGGGGAATAAATGGCATATGGTAACTGTTTTTTCCCTGGCACATGATATGTTTAGGTTTTGCTGACCTAATGTACTATCTACCCCAATTTGCTGCCCAGATGTTTTTGAGATGTCTTTAAAATATCTTAACGATGCCCTTTTTTCCTCAGGGGTAAATTGGTAAAGGTCATAGTGCCAATTAGACTGCTGTGTTTTAGAACATGTTCTTACCACATGGCTTCAGGATACTGAAATTGACCAATCTTGCATAAAATATGCATACATTTTCACCTTCAAGGTTTGATTTGAGACAGAGTCAGTTTTAGCTTTGAAGTGGTATTATTGTCAAGAACAATGTCATCATATGTCAAAACTAGTGAAGATGTCAGATGTTTCTGTATTAGAATTTTTGTCAAATGTAATACTATTTTGAGCTATAAGATCCCAATATTTGTTTAAAGTAAGTTACATGTCTGTACATATCAACCATCCCTTCATTTGGATCACAAACCCACAACAATGGTTTGAGCATGGCATTAAGAGTAATTTTACTGCAATTGAATCATATTATATTTCTGCAAGATATTTGTCTAAGAATTACTTATTATTTAGTCAAAAGATCTTGAGGATTATGTGTGAAATATTAATCAATAAATGACTCTACCCCTTTGATACTGATACCCAACTGGTTATTTATTCATATCTAATAGTGCAGCTAATCTATCTCACCTGCTTAGCAGAACATTTAGTTAAAAAACCAACAATCCTGCCACCAATTTAAATTAATTTTTTAGATTCAGCTACCTAAACAACCTTATCAGTTTCAACTTTGAAAGCAGTGATGAAATCTGTGTTCAAGTTGATTAATCCTGGTTTACAACCAGACACAATCAGCTTGTATGCTTGAATGATCCTATCACCAAGTATTAGGGCACAGTGTTCATGGCTACGTTACATTCTTTGGGGTTTTTCAAAGGGTAAAGTCCTAGAGAGTAAGTAGGATAAGTCTGATTTGAAGATCACCTCTATTTCAGCTTTGATGAAAAGTAATTTGAGAAGCTAAGTTTGAAAAAGTCACAGAAAAGGAGAATAAAGATTAGGATAAAAACATTATATGCTGTTGATTTACAAGTCGACTTGTTAAAATGATCTGATAATTTGTTCATGATAAGATGTTTGATGGTTTTGCGTACATTGAACAGTGGGAGTGGAAGGATGTATATATATATATATATACATCCAAATTTGATATTAGTGGAGAGTGTTATTGGATTAAGAGTGAATGTCATTCCTAAGGTAAGCATAGTTTCCCATTACACAAACATTCCTGATTACGATTGTGTTAAACAATAAACAAGAATTGCATTTGAAGTGGTCAATGTAAATATACACATGATATTCTTCTCAACAGATAATGAACTATGTCATATATACAATTCCCATTTTATCTTCCAATTTACCATACAAATTTATCTTATCTTAAAATTGAGAAATGTTGACATCAAATGATATCAAAGTAGGTGACAAGGTTCAATTTAATCATCTGATAAGCAGATCAAACTTCGCTGTTGTGCGATGTGTTTGGAATAATTGAAGATATGAAAGCTACAGAGATGAACTGTTGCTGTGAGTCTGATGTTTTAACACTGTGTAAGTAATGTGTGAAGTCATTATTAGTCTTTATTTGATGAAAAAAATTGTTTTTTTATCTTGGTCTCGAAGTCATACAGCCCTAAAACACAAAATATTCAACTGTTTTTAGAACAGATTTAATTCGTTATGATACATTTTGCATTAATTCAAGAATTTTAATTGGTAGTTACTTGACTGTAATAGATGTCTGAAACGTTCCCATGATTTATTCAGCCATATATTCTTGACCAAAGCCTATGCATGATAAAATCAAATCGAGGTTGATAAATACCAAAGTATGATTGAAAGCTTTTCGCCCCTGTAGTTAGTGCCCTACAGTTTCTACCTGTTAAACATTTCCTAATTAGGAACATCCTCAGACAGACACTACCACAAAATATGCCCTCTTGATTTTGTCAATTTTTGACAACGTTTCACAATTGACTGGTATTTTATATTTCACTGGCTCCTTAAGAGCAGACGATGGCTATTTTTCATTGATTAATTATATATGCAGACACAACAAATGGTTTTGCAATTTTTACTTTTTCTGCATTTTCCTCGCAAAGTGACAAATACCCACGAGGCGACTGTCTAAGCCCGTAAGGCTCGAGCCAAGTGTTTCAAGAGCTGTTTTTTATAGACGCAAAAATCAATAAAGGTAGCCAGTTATTTAATGCATGAGAGGAATCGAGACAGCATCCCAGACCAATAATTGGTCTATCAGACATTTTAAGAAAATAGGTTTTCTGCCACTAAAACACTTATTACCTGTGGAGGAAAAGGTCATTTTTATCATAGTTTGAATGTATTGATAGAAAATTTTTATGATCAGTCTTGAAGGAGAGTAATGCTGTTACACGTCGCGGAGAAAGGAAGAAAAATTGTATTAGTGGATATAATTTCTTCCATTCTGTCCTATTTTTGTGCTGAACATGTTATATGTAGTATAAATAATGATAATGCATATTGCATATAAAATGTAGTCCTGTGACTTGTCTGGAGAGGGCACCCTTTGGTGTTGGTTACCAATATTGGTAAGACATTTTGGGACTTGTAAACCATTTATGTGCAGCAGAAATCTGGGTTTTGTGGAATATATTGTATTTTGATGCAGCAAATATGTCATGACGTCATTTCTGCCTCCAGTTGTACAGTCATATAGCAGAATCATATCCAACGGTTAATATGACAGTTCACAAGGGAGAGCAATATCACTGTGTATATGATACAGCTATATTTTTGAATTCGTAAAATACAAGTTTGATTCAAATTTATGATTTGAAGTGATTTTAGTAAATGACTTTTGCATTATATATGTAGATTTCTTTTGTACGAATTATAAGCATATTTGAATGCAGTCTTTGAATGGTAAGATCAGAGTATACAAGAATCTGGATTATAAATGCTTTTGTTTCTCCACTAGAGACTCTCTCTATTATGAACTGTACTACTTGGAAATGGTCTTAATGTTTGTTTTACCATCTACGTTTTATACTTTGACTTGTCACTTTATCATGCCAAAATTCTCAGCGGAAAACACATGTAAATGATACAAAGACAGTTTCTTATGACGCTATTGTCATTCCGTTTTTCCACATAGCTGAGATATTTCAGGAGGAGGGGAGAATTCCATGTGTTTAACTCAATTGAAACACAATACGTGAGTCTGGCTTTATGTCACTGTTTCTTTTATCTTATGGCTTGTTCTTGAAAGTAGTATTTATTTTACTTGGGACCTGAATAGAGGGCACACCGGCAGGAGTAAGTCAGTGTTTCACATGCATCTTCCATGCTTTGTTAAGGAAAGTTGAGAATGAGACGTTCATCTACACCTGGGTTCGACAACTGAGGAGGTTTTCTTTGTAAAACTTCAGCTTCACCCAAAGGCCATAGGTAATCTGTCACCAGTGCGATGCTTTTCATTTTATGGTTTATTGTCCTCAGTCATTATTTTTACTTTTTTCTGTTTTAGACACGAACAGTGCCCATCACTGACTGATCAGCCATCAGACAACATAAACATCAAGAACTGAAGGTGAGAAAACATAAAACCTGTCTATAAACCACCTTTTGACACAAACCTTATCAAGCCGGCAGAAAAAACATCAATTTGTGTTTAAAATTCAGTGATATTATAATAGTATTTAATCCTTGGGTTAATGTTATAATTAAGATAAGATGTTATAATTCCAAGATGCCTACATGCACCATCCATTGAAATGATAAACAGTGATGAAATCACAAGGTATAGGTATAATTTAAGAACATAGAAGTGATGGTTTATAACTTAAAATGTCATTTTCATCAAATTCAGGCTGTTGTATTCATAAGGGTATGTAATATAAATAGTATGTGTTTGTGTGATTAGTTTCATTGTCAAGTGTGCATGGAGACCCACACATCACTCTCTTTTTGTCTAAAGAATAAAATATTTTTTTTTAGATCAGTCTGAAGGTTTTATAATTGCACTGCCATGTTGAAATGAAGTAACAATAGCCTTTATTGGAAATTTCATTTGAATACACAATGGAAAAAAATAATCAATATTTTATGTCAAAGTAAAATCCAAATGGCACCATCTGTCATTCACATGAGTATATGTGTAAAATTAGATGGCTGTCTGACACAGTTAATTCTGAAATAAAACATTGACAGTCTACTGCAAGAAACCTCTATCAAATCTAGGTTTATGAAGGCAGTTCAACCTGGTGGATTCAAGGAGTGTCAATGAAAACCACCATAATTAGACATTGTTTGCTATTGTGCGATTCAAGTGTGGACATATGGCCAGCCAAATACTAAATCATTCAGGATTGGCCTAATCAATAAGAAGTATTAAAATTTTCATGATTTACCACCAAAACATTGAAGAGAAATAAATGGGTTGTGCTAATTAACAGTGTTGATTAACACGAACACTGCAGCTTAGGTTAAAATGAGTTCAAACATTGTACTCCATACTACCAGTTCTGTTTTAATTCATTGATCAAGTGAAAACATTTATGAAAACAGTTGATCCCAAAAAGTATGTAATTTCATGTGTTTGGCAAAATTAAATAAAACCATGTACATATATTATTCCATTTCACTAATCACTGATAGAACAAAATCACATAATTAACATAAATATAATTACTGAAAATTGCATTCTGCAGTAAAGCATGAATACAAGATAATACATTACTCTTTAAAAATTGATAAAAAACAAAGCTTGAATTCATTGCTTAAACAGAAACAGATGTTCTGTTGGCAGTATTTTTCCTCCATCCAGATGTTTGCTTTAAAAATAAACAAAAACATACTTGAAAGGCCAAGACATGGGCTATTTACAATGAGATGGACACTGTCCACAGGATATATTTAGAATATGGGAATTCGGGTAAACATGAGTCCAGCATAATGAAGGGGAAATGTCTTCCACTCCAGTTGAACTTTAATTTACTGGGGGCTTGATAACACTGATGGAAATGGATTTTGTTTCATGGGAATAGGCCAGGCCATGCGCTGGACTTTATAAGGATATTTATTTAATTGGTCAGCCAATATGGTTGCCATGGAGATTCAATATCTGGTCAGTTCTTGACCGCAATTGCAGTTGTTATGAAAATACTGTTGTGGAGATTTTGCTGGGGTTGAGAAATTATATGAAATGTTGTGGATTTCTCTCTGGTTGCCAGGTTACTGATAAACAAGGATGGATTGATTTGGGTGGAAGCTACCAGTCTTCCTATGTTTCAATGGCAGATGGGATTTAAGTTGGCATTTCTCAGTATTTGTAAAGCTCTCAAAATAGACTAACAGAAAAATTTATAATATTCATGTCCTGTTTTTCTGAAGGATTTTGTGTTAAGCTTGAGTTATTTACAAGAACCCTCACACAGTACACAGTTGCTTGTTTCAAGGTTTCAATGGTTTGTTCAAAATGACATTATCGATTTGACTTGAAGCATTATCACAAATTCAGTCTTTTGTTTGAAAACAAGTCGGGCATTAAAAGTAAAAGATATCTCTTAGTTGACAGTCTACAGTCACCTATGAAGCAAGGATTGTAGCATAAATTATGGATAAATCCAAATGAGGATTGATAAAAATCAATTAAACTGATCAATGAATTTTGAAGGTGAATCCACAGAGGAATATGGTAGTTATTGTTGGAATACCCAGTAGGAAATCTGTTTTCCATAGTGAATAGAAACACTGGAAGAAAGAAATTGTTTTCAAGCTCTCAGAACAAAGCCTAAGGTCAAGGCTTATGGTTAATCACAATAAAATCACCATGTATGAAAGAACAATACCATTCTTAGATATGAAGGATAGGGGCCTGTCTCTTTGTCTTGTAGCCATATAGTTTTCATCATCTCCTTCCAAACATTTGTCTCTCCAGAGAAATTAAGTCCTCAACAACACCCTTGCCAGTCCTACAGGGCAACAGGTTTCTTGCTTTCAAAACTGATAGTCTTGTACCATTTCGCAGTTGAAAGTACATTGCAACCAAATGCATAATAGGGGTGGTGGGGTGTTATATACATTTACCTGAATTTACAATAGTCTGAATTTTGTGTAATGACTAAGTGGTGAGATATTTTCACCACAAGAGAAGAACATTGAGATCTGAATAGTCATCTCCTTCAACAGCGAGTTCATTTAAAACATCAAGCTTGAGTGCTCCCAGAACCAGAAAGTCTGGATTTCTTGTTATAGATATCAACAATATGCTGTGATTCATGTTCCCACACTTATGACTCTAACAAGATATTAGACAAGCCTGCTTCACTGATCAGAGTGATGAATTGGAAAGTAATTGTTTGAAATATTCTTCAAATCTCACTTCACACTTGTATCCATTTGTCTCTCAACAAAAATTGCCTCATTTGTTGAAGAAAATGTGTAAATAGCGTGCCTAGGGTGAATAACGGGATTAAATCCTACATCCTTTTCCATCATTATAGCTGATGTATGATAGATTGAAAACAAAGGGATTCTTGTGAACTTTAGTAACAAATATTCAGTCAGAAATATTAAGTAAACAACTATTGAATTCTCATGGTTCTATGGAGCAAGCATCAAAAAGTAACTGATGTTGTTAATTGCTCTGGTCACCTTTACATAGCTGCATTAAAACAGCACTGGTAAACATTGATATAGGTTTTGAATAAAAAGTTATATGATCTTTTGAAATAGCATGAAATTGCTTCAGGGATATGGTTGGTATCCAACAACTGTCATGTCTGAAAAAGGTTGTTTCTTCATTAAAGGATAATTTATCCCAGAGACGTGATGTTCATAAGAGAACTTACATCAGAGAAGTTACTGTACTTTCTGTAGTAAGTGTCATGAGCACTTCAAAAATTAAAAAGGTTGATAGAGCCTCTTGAAACCAAGTTAAATTTTGATATGAGTACAGAAGGAGATATTTGGTGCAAATGAAGAAAAACTTGTATTTTGATAATAGGTAGATTAGCTGGGACTGTGTAACATGCTACATCAGTTAGTATGCAAAAGATTAAAGCACCAATTGGTATGGTTTACCAGTCATGACCCAAAAGATCTTGGAGAATACTAAATCAGGAAGCAGGAATACTAAATCTTATGATGGCACCAGCTTGTGTAGAAAATATTTAGATCTTCATTCAGGTCTTCATAAAGGTTATTAAGCATAAGGAACATACAAATCCTGACAACATGATGCCATGACGTGCATCACTTGTGTCATCTGCAATATCTTAGAGTATCACAACCTACAACTTAGAAGAAATGGCTTCCCCCAAGCATAGAATATCATAGGTATTCCCAATGCAAGGTAATGTGGCCATAAGAAATCTGAAAATATTGAAAACAAGTCTTTAAAGAATGATATGCCACACTTGTATCATCTATTATATATTTATTAATCTCACAGTGAATGTCCATGCATTTCGCCATACACATGATCAGCCCCATGTTTGAATTGTCACTTCTTTACCATCTTCTTTAACGTTCTTCCTGAAAAAGATCTGCTCAATAAGATTCCTTTTAAACAACAAATCAGTCGTGTGTGCTTCAGCCATTAAGGTGTTTCTTCAAGGTGAAAAGTGCAGGGGAATGTTTGTAATTTGTTCCAAGGTTGAAGGTGAAATATGATAATGTAAGTTACAGGGATGTGTACATCCTTTAATGCATTTTCCTTGGCCATTTATGGACTCAAAGTGGACAGATTCCAAAAGGTTGTGTGACCTTTTCCAAAATCATGAAATCAGAACCCAAGATTTTCAGAAAATTGAACATTATTGGATTGTGAGTGTTGATTTTGCGGTGGGATGCGTGCACTTAAGCTTTTGATTTTCAAAATTTTGACATTTCCCTAGCTAACATTGTTAAGAGCCAAGGATGAACATCAACTGAACACCTCAGCTGTCGTAAACTCTTTCAACCTTTAACTTTTGAAGTGAGCAGATTTGCATTTTCATAAGCGACAGAATATTAATGCCGCCTGTGACTAGCCTAGGCAAGGCAAATATGAAATATTCTCCCCTCCGGTAGCTGAAACCATTATCACATTCTTCATTTTATACAAGTTGATCATGTTGCTGGAGCCAGTGGGATGTTAATTTGCTAAAGTTCTTACAGTGACAAGTCTGATAATGGAAAAAATTACCTTGGAGAATTGGGAATTCTTTGTCAAATTTGGAAATATTTCACACAAACGAGCCCTAGCCACTGCATTCACCAATCTGCCTGGCATAAAGGCATAGATACAGTCTATTTTCTGCTTAATAGGGGCATTATTATCACAGTAGGGGGGGATTGTGTTTATTTTATTATTATGTTATACTTGAAGCACCGCTTTTTCTATGGCGCTCTCTGATAAAATCAATACTGATCAATAATAAAGCCATCCGTGAATAAATTCTGAAAATTTGAAACATTGTTCCATTCTGATGAAAATGAAAGGCAGTCATAGTGTCAATGAAGGGGTGAGCACTTTCAAAGCCATCAGGTAAATCGGTCTATTGTTATTTTTGGATCTATTTTCTTTCTGTGCAGGGCTCATATAGT